CGAACAGATACCATTGGGCTACGCTAGCACGCAACCGGGATGAATGGAGACGTTACTGGCACCCGCTCGAATAAATCGATGAATAACGGGGATTAAGTGATTAAGTGATTAAGTGATCTGTAACTCCGGCTAAAATTCAGGAAGACTGCTTCTTCTAAAGAGAAGGCACTGCCATATTTTTAATTTTTCAAAAAAAATACCAAGTAGAAAATGTGACACATACAACAAATTTATATCAATGAAAAGCACCTTTACATGTTATAATTTTTAAATGGCCTCCTTTTCCCTTTATCTCTAACAATCCTCTTGGATCTGGAATCTATGAGAAGCAGGTACACATATGCAACCACACAGATCATTTTAAGTGCTCTTGGAAAGGAAACTGTACACCCTCACATACAGAGATACCCAACCTCACAATCTATGGAAAATATAGTAAATATGTATTTTGTCAACAAAAATTATAGCCATCAAATAAATTTTTCACCATTTATCAATATTTTATTGGGGTCCTGGCTTACTTGTGCTTACTCCTGGCTCTGCTCTCCTAGAGGAGCTCAGGAAACCATACGGAGTGCCAGGAATTGAACCAGGATCAGCCATATACCAGGCAAGCAACTTACAACCTATATTGTCTCTCCATCCCCAAAAAATGATTTTTTAGTTTGTTTTGTTTGGGGGGGCCTCACCCAGCATTGCTCAGGAAATAAAAAGTCATAAAATGACTGTAAATAAAAAAGTGTTAGTGACGTTTTAGAGTAATGGGAATGTAAACTTATGCAAGCCTGGATGGTAAACAGGATACCAATGCCTTAAAAATGATGATAAATACAGAAATACTGTAAAATCCAGTCATGTCAATTCTAAGCATATATTCAGTGGACACAAAGAGCAAACCCCTGTGCAAGAGAGAAGGTATACAGCTGCTAGGGCAATGTCTTGCACACAGCTAACATGGGTTCAATTTCCTGGCATGACATATGGTTTCCCAAACCATGGCAGAAGAGATACCTGAGCACAAAGTCAGGAGTAAGTTCTTCTCACTTCAGGGAGTGGCTCAAAAATAAGGCAACAACTTGAGAGGGTATCTGCACCCTGAGGTCACAGCAACATTATTCGTAATGACTAAAACACAGAATCAATAAAATCATCTTTTTTAGAAACTCAACCTTCATAATGTATTTTAAGTTGCATATGATTTGCTTAGTTGTTATTATTTTTATTTCAGCTGTTTTATTATTTTACAGTTTATTTATCTGTACAATACTGCCAAAATTTTATCCCCTTCCTGCTGTATACCGTGCCTCTCATCAGCCTGACAGATACCATCCACCATTATCTGCAGATCCCCTCTCTGCAGTTTTCTCAGAACAGTTCCACTGATAATATCTCAGGGTGGCTCCACTGTGGAGTGTCTAATCCCTTATTTTGTTCCTTTTTACTCTAGTTGAAGCAAGATCATCTGGTGCTTGTCATTTTTTGACTGATTTTACTTAGCATAACATACTACAGTTCATACGGAGTTGTAGCAAGCTGCAACATAATTAAAATTTAAATGTCCATAGACAGTTGGATAAAGAAGCTGTGGTTTATAAACTCAAGGCAATACTATTCTACCTTTCAAAAAAAATTTCATAGAGGAGGCCTGGGTTTGATTCCTGGCACTGCATGGTCCCCTGAGTAACACAAGGAATCACGCCTGAAAGCAGAGACAAGATTACACCCTGGCCACTGCAGGGTATGCATTCAAACCAAAGTGAGTAAGTAATTAAAAATAAAATATTAGGACAGGGTTAAGCACAGGGAATAGGGGTACATTTGATTCTGGGCATCACATGGTCTCCCGAAGGTCTCTCAAGAATAACCACAGGTGACTGGGTGGTCTATAAGCACCACTGGGATAATCCTGGAGGTCCCCAGCATCACCAGGCCCAAGCAGTGATGCATCCTCAGGCCCCATTGAGCCATCACGCCTAGCTGAACAAACATCAGAATAAGTGGCTCTGGATTCCCTGAACACTGCTTTGGGAGTCCTCCTTCCTAATAAAAGATAAACTGTGCATTCGATGACAAAATGAATGTAGTTTAAGGTGATTATGCAAATGAAATAAGGGGCTTAAAGACAACTATCAGAAAATTTCACTTGTAAAAGGATTAGATAATCAAAACAGTTGTCAATACAACAACAAAACTAAGTCAGATCTATGGTAGTTACTGGAGGTATGTGTGGGATGGAGGAGTGGGAAAAGAAGTTTGTTTTTGTTTTTCTTTGGGGACCACACCCAGCTGTGCTCATGGTTTACTCCTTGTTCTATGCTTGGGAATCATCCGTGGTAGGCTCAGGGGACCAGATGGGATGCAGGGCATTCAAACCTGAGTTGGGTCCATGCAAGGGAAATGGTCTACCAGCTGTGTTATCGCCCTGGCCCCAGAAAGAAAGAAGTTATTTTGAAAGTGAGATTATGCTAGAAGTTTGGTGGTGGTTGTCATATACATAGAGAGGTGTAAAGTTAAATCCCTGAAATGCTATAGTATGTTAGTGATAAATTATAGAAAAACTTTTATTATGGATATGAAAGCTCAAAGCAACATTGTTTACAATCAAAAAGTGAAAACAAACCAAAAGGCCATCGAGTAACTAGTGCATAACCAAACTTTAGTATATCCATATACTTAAATATTATTTATAAATCTAAAAACTGACTTGATTACTTTAATCCATGAAACAAACCCCGGTATCTCATCTGGTCCCCTGAGCCCACCAGGAGTGATCCCCAAGCACAGAGCAAGGAGTAAGCCATGAGCACAGCTGGGTGTGGTCCCCAAAGAAAAACAAAAACAAATTTCTTTCCCACTCCTTTATCTTCACATATCCCTCCAGTAACCACCATAGATATGACTGAGTTTTGTTGTTGTATTCGCAACTTTAGTGGTTGAATGGGCCTGAAAGAAGGGATCAATAATGTAAAGCTACTAGTTGGTACAAGAAGAATATTCAGGTAAAATGTTATGAAAACATCTGGCAACATCATGGGAATTATTGTGCAACCTTGTAAAAACACCAAACTATACACTAAAAAAAAAAGTGAAATCAATAGTATTTAAATTATATCTTAATAGAAAATATCCGTGTAAGATAGTTACCACAGAAAAACACAGTGTGCCTATCAACTAGGGGTGGGATGATATTTTTGTGCATGAAAATACTGCGTAGTTTGTAAAAAACAAAGCGAACAAGTATATGAAGTTTAAAGGTAGGTAAATCTGAATATTTTCATTCAAACACTATATGAGGATATAAACTCAGAATCTGAAATCTTATTCTTAGAGAAGATAATATGGCCCTAAGGCAAAAAAATGTATTTCACCTGAATAATTTCTAGCTTGGGGCTGGAGCGATAGCACAGTGGGTAGGGCATTTGCCTTGCTCAGGCCGACCCAGATTCAATTCCCAGCATCCCATACGTTCCCCCAAGCACCGCCAGGAGTAATTCCTAAGTGCATGAGCCAGGAGTAACCCCTGTGCAACAATGGGTGTGACCAAAAAAGCAAATAATAATAATAATAAAATAATAATAATAATAATAAAATTTCTAGCTCAATGAATTACTAAAATTTTAGCATGTGAGAAGGAGAGACAGAGACAAGATATAGATAGAGATAAGAGAAGAGAAAGAGATGTGATCAATTACATTGAAAACCATAAACCAGATTGAATTGTGTGAAGTATTATTGATTTTATGAATTAAATAGCCACCTCCGAGCAGGACCTGAAAACCTTAGCCTAGCATAATGAGAGAGTTCAGCTTATACCTTATATTAAGGATGGAAGAATTCTGAACATCTCTTCTTGGTTTGCTGCATGGACTATTTCTAGACTCATAAAGCACTAAGACAAGATGATGGACGTTAGCAAAGCAACTGGGAGGTGCAGACACGTTATTTTATAGAAGAAAAGGGGAAAGTGTATATCACCAGGCATACTAAGTCAAACCACATAACCTGAAATCTGTTAAACACTTCACCCCATCTTAAAGAACATTATTCTAAAGTTAGCTTCAGTGAGTTTTAGAGAAAAGTAGGACAAACAACTCTAAATATGTATGTGTAGAAAATTCAGAATTTGGAAAGTTGATATATATTTTATAAAATCATTTTACTCTATTTGGGAATCTTAAGTAGGTTGCATTTTGTTCCTTTGTTTGGGCTACTGGTTTTGCTTAGTTATTATTTTTTTACTTAATTAAAGACTTTGTAATTAGAGAAAAATATTAAAACAGAAAAATTACAAATACACTCTAATTAAATACCTGCTTAACTTTATAATTGCATGTGTTACTTTATATATAGTTGTCTTGTAAATTTTGTATTGAAAAGGCTTCTCTTAGGACACTTGGTAAGTTTACATGATGACTATGTACAACCCAATGTGAAGCTGACAAACAAAAATTTACAATATTTCTAAATATGTATTAACATTTCACTAACATAAGAGATATACGATTTATTATATATCTATACCCCTACATGAGTGACTAGCTAAGCTTTTAATTTTGTTTAGTGAAGGGCCCGGCAAAGAATGGAGACACACTGTCAACTTGATACTTGCTTCTCAGATATCTATATTTAACTCCAAAGTTAAGCATGTTTATTATCTCAAAGTTCAGTGAATTAAGGTACTTTATAAGATAAATAATTATGACTTAGAAGAGCTTGCTTTAAACTTCTAACCACAGTTTGGGTACTCATTTCATTTCATTGACTTAAAAATATTTAGCAGTTTTTTTTAAGGCTGCCTAATACATCTTTCTAGCGCAGAATTTTTATTAGAGAAAGATTGTGCATATTTCAGAGATTTGGGTAACCTGGTGATCAACAGAATGTGCACAGAACCTTTATCACAACACTGGATTAAAATATTGGTTACAAAAATAAGAATTAATAATAAGTGTCACTGTTTATACACACGGGTTATTTAAAAAAAAAAACAGAGCACTCACCTTGGGGTGCTATCAGGGTTCGTCCATTCTTCTGACACCAACCAACTGGTTGGACATAAGGACTATTTACATCACACCTGCAAAGACAGGTCTCTGTTTCAGATCCCTTATTACAAAATTCCATGGGAAGAATCCAAGAGTAATGATCATTATAGAGAATATGAGAAAGCATGGAAAGTATAATAATACTATGTGATCATTAAATAAGAGTAACTAACGATCAGTGGACAGTCCCATTGAACTCTACGAGGCTACAGATTTCCTTTCTCCCCTTTTCTGCTCTGCTGTATTTTTCTGGGGGCTTGGGAGGCACACCCTGCATTGCTGGGGATTTATTCCTGGCTCGGTGTTCAGGAGACCCTCCAGGCAGTGTTGCGGACCCTATTTGATAGGATTTGAACTAGGGATAGCAGGGTGCAAGCCAAACCCCATTCCCCTAGAATTATCTCTTCAGCTTGCTCTGCTTGTTTAAAGGAGAAAAGCAGGTCCCCTTCACGGACATGAAAAATTTCAACCAGTTATTCTGGATATACTCTGAAGCAATGTTATAAAAATACTTTTCCCATATACTCTCCCACATTTCAGGTTTTGTTCCCGGAAAACCTTCTAACTCCTGCAATGTTAGTTTAATGGCTTTGCAGCACACATTTTCTCTGCTTCCCACAGGCTTTCGAATATTTCGCTCCAATCTTCCCTTTTAAAAATGTGACAGGCAGAGTTTTAACATTTTTTCAAGTAAAAAAAAATACTGCAAATTTTTTACTTCCTTTTCATAAAAATTCCCCCGTTACAAAACTAGACACAATATAGTGAAATGTTCCTAATTAGTCCTATTATTTCAAAGAAGGCCTCATTAGGCACCCTTCTTACAAAACGTAGGAAAAGCTTCTTGGGATCCTTAATTCAACACTTCATGTGGAAGGGCGGGTCAAGAAAAATCAGTCGCTAAAATTCCGATGGTCTATATTACAAGAACAGCAATAACGGTGAAAATACTGGAATGAAATCAAGTCTTAACACCAAACATGAACACACAAAAATAAAACACACATCGGTGTCTCACCAGTAATCGTAACTATCATCCCAATTGTCAAAATGCACTAGTAAGCGATCTTCAACAATATCTGCTATGGTTGCCACACACACCAAGGAAGGGTTCTTCCTGTCGACGGCCTCCAGCTTCATTCCAACCTGAAATTCTTTAGGCATTGGCCCATTCTACCACAGCACCAGAGGAAAGAGGCACAAAAAGAAACAGGACACCAAACAGGACTGAGCCACACTTAAAATTCTAGGATGTTTAGCAACAAAAAAAAGTCTACAGGGTATCAACCCTTAACCTTCGAAATGAAGTCAGCAAATGCCAGTTAAAAATATTCTACACCGCCCTCCCCGTTAGGAAATGGACCTTCACAGCACAGACCCTGGAAACTAGCTCTTATGTGCTGCTTTTATCCTTCATAGGCTTCTAATTCCCTCAGCATCATTTGTTCTCTTTAGGTCTTAAAATAATTTATATTAATTTATATATTTATAATTTATATATTATATTCCCTGGGGAGCACCCAGGGCATCACACAGCAAGGCAAGTGCTCAATTCTGAGCAGCTACATGCCCAGCCTTTAACATATTACATTTTAAAAAAGCAATTTGACATTTCTAAAACTCTCTTTCCTTGAGACTGTTATATGGAAAATCAGGGCAATTGTATAACATCAATTTCAAAACCAAGACACGGACGCCCCACGGAATCAGCTGAGTGGTCGATACAAAGCCCCCAACCTCTAGGCTCCCTGCCCCCCTTCCTGGTTCCCGGCCTTACTGCTGGACCCGGAGAGTGGCTAGAGAAGGTGGCAGCTACAGTGATGCACATTCTCCGTTGCACACCGCGCGGGCTACTGAGGGCAGAGAGGGCATAAGGCGAATCCTCTACCATAATCCCTGCCTTATATTTGCATAAAGTGTCCCCCTCGCCTTATCCCAAATGCAGCTAGGCCAGGGACATGCAACTAGGCTGCATACTCAAACTACCTGAGAAGTCTCTTGGTTTTAAAACATCAAAAGGAAATTTAGATGACCAATTTATTTAAAGAAAAATGTAAAAAAAAAATACCCCACAATTTAAAGGCATAATACATCTCAGTAGGCTTTAGTTTTAATTCTTCCGATATAACTGAAGCATTTTATCATAGGTGTAAAGTTTAATGAAATATTCCCACAAGATGCTAACAAGTGAGAAAAAAATTACGAGAAGGTTAAAATACAGCAAAATTTAATATAGGGTGACTTTTAAAATTTTTAGCTCCAGGGACTCTGCTTTACACTAAGGAAGAAAAATACTTACAGAACTTCTGTTTCTGAATAACTTCTTGGGAGCATTTTGCAATTTGCAGGCCTTCAAATAATTCATCCAAACAAACTTATCTTTTCTATAACCTAAAATAAAAGTATGGTTTACTCAAAATACCCACAAGAAGTAACCATGTGCCTATTAAATATATTATTCTTGTTCTTGGTCTCTCACACATCCAAAATCATTTAGCAGAACACAAGATTTAAAATACAATCTTTGAATAGTTTCAGTGGCTTCTAACACATGAACCTCAAGGCGGCTGAGTAACTCCCGATGATGCATATCATTCCCTATATATTTTTACTTTATTAATATGGGAATTGTATCCTGGTGGTCTGATAGGGGCCTCATCTTTCCAAATTGAGCCAAATGTCCCCAAGTGTGCTCACTCCTGATGTAGTCAAGTCCCCAAGACCATCAGAGATGTTGGTGGCACCCCAACCCAGGACTGTAAGGCACTGCCTCATCCCAGGCCATAGGCCAGTGGGAGCCCCAACTTGGGGCTCCAAACCATTACAGGCTTCACATTTAAAAAATGGATAGAGAAGAGATTACCAAATGAAGGGTGTTGTGAGGGCCCTCCCAGGGTGGGAGAAGCATGCTAAAAGTAGTCGATAGACCAAACATGATTGCCACTCAAAGCCTCTCTTGCAAAACACAGTACCCAAAAGAAGAGAGAGAGAACAAGGGGGAATACCCTGCCACAGAGGCAGGATGGGACGGGGGGAGGGGATGAGGGGGGGGGATGCTGGGACCCATGGGGATGGATGACGGGCACTGGTGGAGGTATGGGGACTTGATCATTGTATAACTGAAACCCAAGCACAAAATTTGTAAGCCTATAACTGTACCTCATGGTTTTTCACTAATAAAAAAAAAAATAAAATAAAAAAATAAAAAAAAAAAAAAATGGCTTTTTCTGACCAGAAAAAAAACGGAAAGGGTCACAGGCACTTGTTTAGCACCATACTGACCCTGGTTTGATCCTCTGCCTACATACAGTCACCAAAACGCAGTCAGCAGTAAGCCCTGAGCACCATGGCCTAGTGTGACCCCAAAACAACTAAAATTTAAAAACTAACAATTCCTTTTCCTCCTGCTCAGGTACCTTAAAGTGGCTGCACAGCACTGGTTCAGATAAGAGATTCGCCAAAGATCATCTGACTGAATGTTCCACTAAGAATGAACATCAAAGACGCATCACAGGCCTTCTGGGCCATGGTTCCATCTCTTACTCGCTTGCCTACCTTCTTGATTATCTTTTCCAATCACAGCCATCTTAAAAGTCCTCCATGGCGCCAATGCACTGAGCCTGAGGAGCTTACTATTTTGATTTGCTTTGTTTCTGACAGGGTTCTTACCCCAGAAGGCACCAGGCTCTCTCGCTCTCTTATTCCATCCACAAATCTGCCACCTCTCAATTCCTCAGGCCTTTCCTTACCACAAGATACAGGGTGAAAGATACACCCTGAGAAATATCCACCAGAGAATAGATTCACTATTTTTCTCTGCTGTAGAATAAAAGTCACACCACTCCAGAGTTTAATTTCTGCTATAATGTCAGTTTCTACACAGTCTGGGTTCTAGAAATGCCTGTAGATAGATTTCTGTTCATCTTTCATGAAATCCAAGAAATCTTTGACTGCCTGTGGGGGAGGGAGCCCTTCAAACACTGTCCACGTGTCCCAGGGATCCGTGGGCCACATGGCTCAGCGTTTGGCCCTGCCAAGACTCCTGGGTATAGGAGAACATCAGACCTACAACCAGCAGGGTGTCACTGGAGTCATGCCTGGTGGGACCTGGTGGGGCAATATTGGGTGCCAGGGATTAAATTGAATCTTGAGTCTTGTGCATGCTAGAAATATGTGAGCAAAATCCCTGACTCTAAATGCATGAAATAAGGAACTCTTGCCTTTCGTCCCTGAGACAGATGCCAAAGGACACCCAGAGTTGGATAGTAAGAAGAGTGACTAAACACTGACTTCAAAAGTGGCCTTAGTCATCAAATGTTAGACCATTAAAGCAGGAAATCTTATACAGACGTTTGCTCAGCAAGCAAGTAGACTCAATGGCACCTCAATTGACTAAATCCTCACCTCACTAGAGAAAGAAAATAAAAAAAAGGCTTCAGTTACATTTACCAATTCCAGGTTCCAAAAGACAGATAACAAAAGGTAAAATGAGATTTTCAATGCCCATTAATAGAAAACAAATAGTGAAATTGTTTTCTGTTTCATAATTTTGTTTTGTATGATTTCCATTTGAAAAAAAATACATAGAATAAATCAAGTTTTTATACCTAATGGCATAATTGAGAAATTTTACTTTAACCATGTCTTAAAACTTAAGTTTTTTTGATCTTTAGATTTGATAAACATTGTGCAAAGTAAGATGAGATTTATTACTGAGCTAGACACTTGGAAAAAACTTTGGCCTAAACAGTCACTGATATTTTCCTTTTAAAAACACTATTTATTTCTGAGAAAGGCATCTTTGTAGACTTTCTGCTTTTTATTTTGAATCTCACTTTCACTTAAAAATCAATTCACACCAGGTTCTCTTGTAGTATTGCATGAAATGTTATTAATATGAAACTCTCCTTCAACCCCGGCTTACCCTTAGGAATGTGCAGTTCATGTTTGGTCTTTTCACACCACCCTACTGGATGAATGTCAGGGGAACCTGCATTAGTCCAAAAATCGTAGCAGCTTAAGTAACCATCAAAATGAAGTCTTAGCCGATAACCACACACCTGAAAAATGGAATGTTCACAACAGTTCATTGAGTATCATGTATTTTAAGATATATAAAAATCAATTTTATATCAATGCCATCAGTATTTATAAATCAATCCTTCCATCCAAATATGTGTGTATACAAAATTCTGATAAATGACAAATTATGTACTTCAAGTGTGCTGTTATTTTTTCTTTAAAAAAAAAGAGAATTTTTTTTGCTCTGCTGTATATCTGGGGTCAATTTCAAGCTTATGAATTCAATACCTGTCAAGTATTCTTTTCAGAAATCCTATCTCCTGTCTGAATTGGATTCAAATCCCAAGACATTGTACACAAAGTACAAAGCAAACCCAAAATGTACACGGCCTTATTTCAACTCAAACTCAAAGTTTATTGGCAATAAAATAAAAGCACCCTCAAAAATGTGTACTCTAGAAATGATAGCAAAATACATACAATAAATTAAATAAATAGTGCTTTGAAGACTTATTATTAAATGCATTTAGTCAACTATAAAAATGAATTCCATAACTTTCATCAAATCTCATTACTATATATATTTTTCATAAAGTTCATGTATACGTAGCTAATTTATATGACTCAAAGTTTTCATGTGTGTTTCTCATTAAAGCGTGAATAAATATGGGGGCTGGAGCAATAGTACAGCAGGAAGGATGCATGTCTTGCATGCAGTCAACCTGGGTTGGATCCCCAGCATCCCTACCAGGAGTGATCCCTGAATGTAGAGGCAGGAGTAAGTTCTGAGCACTGCCAGGTGTGGCCACAAAACAAAATAAAATTTTTTTGAATAAATGACCTTTCTTTTTGTTCCAGTTTATGGGCCACATTTGGCCAAGTTCAGGAGTTGCTCTGGGCTTTGCACTCAGGAATTAGTTCTGGCAGTGCTCAGGGTCTATATAATGTGCTGGGGATGGAATCCAGAATGGCCACATGTAAGGAAAATGTCCTACCCAATTGCTGAGCTCATAAACGACACTTTTTAAACCAGTGAAATCAACTTTGATATAGTCATAATTCTTTTCAACCTCAGGTAAAAACTGTTTACCAGTTAAATTAAGACTAATTTCTAGTGAGGAAGGACTTAGAAAATTAATCGTCAGAAAAGAAAAAAATTCATTAAAAAATCATTTCACCCATCACTGGATAAAATTAATTCATGATGTGTTGAAACTAGTTTATAATGGAAAGAATTCAAAGTTTTTAATCTCTAGATAATTATTTCTGTCACTGAACAATTAGCCCAAGACATTTCAACATCTCTTACCTCAGCTACAGAAAGCACACAAAATACAGATGGATGTCGAGGGTCAATGCCTTCTAATCTCATTCCAATCTGAAAATGGTTTTCATGTTCCGGAAATGACTGGTCCTATGAAATTCCATGATTTTACATTATCCATTGAAGCATTCTTACCATTTGATATTAGAACTCTTAGAGTAGTTAGTCACATAATAAATAACTTACGTTCACATTTGGAAGTTCAGCAGTATAGTCAAAGAAATAAGGGCTCATATATTCCAGTTCTTAAAGATGACATTTGATCACTTAATTGTGCTTTGAAATAGTTTTCAGTATTATTATCTCATGAAATTCATTATTTCTGGTTCTATATTTGCTTAATGATTGGAATAAAGGACTTTAATATTTTGGAAGAAATTCTTTAATTTAATAATAATTTACTTTTAATTTTATGATTTTTCAATTTGCTTGCAAATGTAGTTAAATATATCAATAATTTTCTATACACTGGGCACATCAAGCTCATGAAATGCCTTACAAACTTAAATTCACTAGTACATTCTATTTTAAAACTTGCATTCTTCATATTTATATTTATAATACATTAGAATTGACTTTCTATAGTGAGGTAGAAACATTTTTGGTATAGAAAACAAAGTGTTTAAGAAATAACTTTTTCACAGTGCAAAAAAATAGTGCATACTTTTCATATATTTGCAACATTATTTTTGTTATATTATGTCTTTGCACATTTCTGGGTGTGTTTCTAGGCTTTCATTCTGTTTGTTGAAGCATTTGCTGACAACACATTATTTGTTTACAATGAATCTGATTAAGTCTTTAACATCTTGAGCTTCTAGGTAAGGATCTCATTTCCTCATCCTTAAATATTATTTTTTGTCATCCCAAAGTGATTTGAAAATGTTCACACAAAATTCAAAAATGTTTTATTATAAGCAGCTACCCTTTAATATTTGCTGTCATTGTAAATGCTATACTTTTCACAAATTTCTAATTTGTTGCTAATCATTAATTTTCCCAAATATTGGATTTGATTCCCATGGCCTTGCTGAATTATTATTCAATTTGAGTTGAGAGTTGCAAAAAGACTCAGCATTAGTAGCCAGTTTATTCTTAGTTGCATATATACTAAAGGAAAATGTCTGAAATCTAGTTCCATTACATCTAGAGCTGCTTTTCAATCACTAGTTGTATTGTTGTTTATTAGTGCATAGCATAATAATGCCTATTTGGGGGTGAAAATTCTTTTTAAAAATTTCAAAATAAAATTAAAGTTTAGGGTCAGAGAGATGGTAGTGGATAAGGTGACTGATAGCCTTGCATGCAACTGACGCAGTTCAATTTCTGGCACCACATATGTCCCCTAAGCACTACCAGATATGATTCCAGAGCACAGAGTCGGGAGTAATCCCTGAGAATCTCTGGATGTGGCACAAAAACAAACAAAATATTCAAAATGTAAAGAAAAAAATTTAGGGCGTGAGAGATAATGTATCAGGTAAGAAGCTATGCCTTGCATGTAGTCAGCCCAGGTTCAAAACTTGGCACCAATATGGCACCTTAAATACCGCCAGGAATAATCCCTGAGCACAGAACCTGGAATAAGTCCTGTGCACTTCTGGTATAGTCTGAAAACTGAAAAAAAAATGCAAGAACAACAACAACAAAAGAAACACTTAACTATAGCGAAGTTGCACTTGTTGCTAATATTCTACCTCACTCTAGCATTTGTTTGCTTTCATTCTCATGTCTCTTCATGTATAAAGATGCACACACATGCATGTACTTACACACACACATGCACATATATATACTACACATTTTTCCATGAGAGGAGTATGTTTGCCCTATGAATGGGAACACTGTCTTACATAGTAGCTGTTATGAATTTCAACATGTTTGTAATACACTATTCCTTTAGCTAATGCCCTATTCATTTTGCAATTTTTCCAAATTATCTAACAGTGCACTTATATTTTCCTTCTCCCAAAAAATAGTCAAAGTATAAAATTTTCCTCTTCCTGAACAGAATTTATTCAGATATTAAATTTAGTTGGCATATATCTTTACTTTATTTAATCTCAAACATTATCCATAGCATGCAGATTGTATGAAATTGACACCTAAAACATAACTAAACCTTTATCCTTCATCCATTAAAAAAAGTTCCCTTTTTTCTTAAAGTTTCTTTGATGCACCCTCATAATTAAGACTTAGGTGAAGCATTTTGCTCCAAGGGAACTAAATGGGTGACGATAGGTCCTCCCTTGGATATCACATCTGGAGACATCTGATGTCATATGTAATGCTGATTTTGATGACACAATCATTGTGTTAGCCAATTCCTTCACTACATAGCAACCTAAAAGATTCACAAATATAAGCTTTTTCAAATATGTGTGAATATATTAATATATATTGTAAAATATAAATCAGTGCATATATCCATCCCCTGGGCTGGAGCCATAGCACAGCGGGTAGGGTGTTTGCCTTGCCAGCAGCCAACATGGACAACCAATTCGATTCCTCTGCCCCTCTCAGAGAGCCCAGCAAGCTACCGGGAGTATCTCACCCTTTTGGCAAAGCCTGGCAAGCTACCCATAATGTATTTGATATGCCAAACACAGTAACAATTGTCACAATGGAGATATCACTGGGCCCGCTCGAGCAAATTGATGAACAACGGGAGGACAGTGACAGTGATATCCATCCCCAAAAGACTAGTCTGTTTTTTTTCTTTTATTTTGTACTTCACTTCCTTTCAATAAATGATTCATTCAAGTACTAAATCCAATAATATAATTATTATAGTTTCAGGACTATTTTATCCCTACAACTATAATAAGAAAACCTACAAAAGAAATTTGCAATTTTTTTGTTCTTCTCTGCCATCAACAAATGGGCACAGAAATAAAACTTATAATATACATGGATTCATTCTTTATTTCTTTTTATTCAGTGTGATTACAGTATTAATTTTAAATATAGTTAAGTTTATTTCTTTCAAGTTGATTTCAATTCTTAGTTATTCATTTCTATTTTAATATACAGAATATTGACACTTTCCAAAGCTTAAATCTATGTAAAGAAATTGCTTCCTCCCCATATCCTAGTCACCCTATCTCTACACCATCTCTTACAAATAATAAACCTTGCTGTTTTATAGTCTATCCTTTCTGAATTTCTTTTTTTATAAAGATAATCAACTACATACATACATATTTAAATAATTTCCCTTATTTCTATCACAAAACAGAATACAAGAGCTTCAGGGTTTTTTTGCACATGGCTTTTTATATGTCCTACTCTGCCCTGAAAAAATACTCCATGCAAAGTCACAGCAACTGCCCATTCTTTTATGCAAATGAATTATATTTCTATATATACAGGATCTGCAAATTTATCAATGCCCCTCTACACATAGTTGCTTGTATTTTTACATGAACATAAAATTGTTTGAAAATCTTGATGAACTAGTTCATAATATGTCATAAAATTTTTTTATGAATTTTAGAATCTTCTAAGGAAAACATAAAAGACGATATAGCTCAAACAAAATGGGTAGAATGAATAATTTCTCATGAGTTTTTATTTTATTTTATTTTATTTTATTTTGCTTTTGGGGTTACACCCAGTGGTGCACAGGGGTTACTTCTGGCACTGCACTTAGGAATTACCCCTGGCAGTGCTCAGGGGACCGAATAGGATGCTGGGAATCGAACTCCAGTCGGTTGCATGCAAGGCAAACGCCCTACCTGCTGTGCTATCACTCCAGCCCCAGGAATATTTATTTTTACAAAAATAAATGACATGTGTATTTAAATCTGCCAGTCTTCTCACATCCACTCTGTGGCCAAGAGGACATACTTAACAAGTTCTGTGTGACTATCTGCTGTTTACTGCTTCAAAATTTCTTATCTGAAAAGGACCACACATACACACATACGCACGCACATAGCACTAATAAAAATGCCAAGGGGAGAAAACACTGTAGCAGGAAGCTGTAGGCACTTACGCTACCTGCGAAGACTCAGGTCAGTGACAGTATCCACAAGTTCCAGTTCTCCCTGAGATATGCTAACCTTTCCACCTGAAGTGAGAAAGCATTGCTGGGCAATGGGGGAAGAAGTTGATAACCACAAAGACCACCTGAAGACGCAGGTGTTTTTTCCTAGCTTTGAAGTAATAGAGTTAAAAGTAACATTAACTTTGTTTTGCTTCTATAGGTCTGCTCCCCTAGGGTACCCAAAGGGAAACAAACTGTCATTCAGCGCCCAGTTTCTCAGATGTGAATCCTGCCTAGCCATGCAGGGATGTTTAATCAAGCTGTTTTCCCTGAAATCCTTGGTATCCTAAATCTCCTTTCACAATTTCTGCTACAATATCATTATATTAATAATGCTACAAGGAAATTTAAGGAGCTTAAAGAACTGAAAGGACATTCTCAGATTTTATCAGAACTGAAAGAAGCAAAAATGAGAATGAATAAGAAACAGCATTATGCTGAGCAAACTGTACTACCTTATCATACACGAGTGAATTCAGGATAATGGCAAGAATTCTCAGTCAAGATTTAGGCTAATCATCATTACCACTATCATCATTTCAAAATGGTCACTCGCGTGAAAATTTTAGAGAATAATACAATAGTGCAAGGGACACTAGATGGTTAAAACATACATAGCAGTCTTCAATGGGTTTCAAATTAAATATAAATATATACATATAAAGTATTCATAGTAGCAATGTGAAAGGCAACATCAGTGAGAAATTACACTGCTTTCCCTGGTTTCTTTTCTGTGTAGTTTATTCATAGAAGATTTATTTTATTTGTAAAAGTCATGTTTTATGCCTATACTTTATAGCTGACCTTATAAAGTTGTTTTATAATTTTAAAGAAAGGGGAATTGCAACCACACATTTAAGACAAACATTAAGTCCATTACATTTGGTCATTAAAAAAAAAAATCAAGAGTTTGTAGATCTGAAAAAGAAAACTTTACCATGCTAATCAGGTCAAACCCGGAGAAGTGAAGAGACATTCTCAAGGTGCCACTGCTGGTTCAGCAGTAATGCCTCTTCTCTGCTGCAGCACTGGGGACTTTTGT